TTAATTAATTAATTAAATTAACATAAAAATATGATGATCATATCATATATCCTTTTTTTTTGTGCAGTATGGTATATGTCTTTTAAGATAAAATTCATAATAAATAAAAAAAATATATTCATCTATATAGAAATTTATTCATGAACTTTTATTTATTTAAAAATACTTTAAAGTAAAAAGATCAAACCACTTTTTTTAGATGACAGCTCGAAACTAGTTTACTGTACGGTAATAAGTAAAAGGTGTTTATTAAATTTCATTTGTTTTAATTTAGAAGTTAAGTTGTAAGTTATTTGATATTTTTAACTGGAAATCTGAAATTTATATAAAATTACTTATCTCATCAAATTAAAAGTATATTTATAAATAAGAATATAAGGGAAACTTATTTTAATAATAATAAAAGTATTGAAGAACAAATATTTAAGTTTAATTTTAAAATGTCAAAATTACTTAATTAATAAAATTTTATTTTAATAATGATTTGTAAATGATATATATAAAATTAATTAATGAAATTTAACTATAAATTAAAAAAATTAAGTCATTATATATTGTTTAATAATATTTTTAAAGAAATAAAACTTTAATTAAGAAAATTAATAATATTAAATTATATTAAAAAAATTAAAATTTATTATGTGTAATGACCTACCATAGTCTTTACACTATACAGTAAAACTACTCGTAGCAAAAAAATATAAAACAATAACCTAAGGTTAATATGCAAACAGTTCATGAAAAATACATGTAATTATATATGTATGTGTGCATAAGGATTAAAATCACTCAAAAGAGTAAATGTCCCTCAATGGAACTACCACATATTATGTACACATATGTATATATAGTAATTCAAAAACTAAAGATGTAACCTAGGTCAGTCAAGTAACATTACAAAATATATACAAAAGTTAGTAGCAAGCTACACTGCCATCCAACATGACTCTCAGCTTGATACCAGCCTCTAGTCTGTCACTATCTTACTTTCATATCAAGTATAATCAACATAGTCCCACCACAAGAAAACATGCAAAAGTAAGCTAGTATTCAAAATAATAATCATAACATAGATATAGAAGTAAATGCATCTATACTATTCACATTATCATGTAACCACACAATACAATACCTCATGGCTTACAACTTAGCAATACTATAATAATACATCAACATGACATTCAACAACCTTTAAAAAGGTACACAACTTAACCATAGCAACAATTTCAACTTACACTACAATAATGCAACTCAACAACAAATCCACATAACATATGAACAACACCACAATCAACACATTATATGCATAACACCTCAACTACATGTGTCATCACACATTCAATTAAAAAATCTCTTACAACGAAGGTAAGTAGTCTAAATCGTTTGCCCCTACCAAATCAACAACAATGTAATCTTTTCAATACAACTATATCAACAACAAATTTGAATAAAAATCCACAACATTCTTGGATTTTGCCACTTAAAATAGGAAAGTCTAGTATTCTTGTTAGGGTAGAACAACTTGAGTGTGGGTCAACCACGACTTTAATATGCATAACTAAGCCTCTTGTGAGTAAAGTTGTCAAAACGGGCCTTCCAACTCAACTTGGCCACCACGGGTTGGTGGATCAACTTGTTTGGTCCACCAAACCACCTAATTTTTTTTTAAAAAAAACTCCAATTTTAAATACAATTCAATCTAATCGGGTCAAGCTTGCAACGATGGCTCATAGAGGCATAGTGGTAGGCGAATGTGCCAAGACTCGCATTGTGGAGGTGTGATGGCTTGTGGAAAAAAAAAGAGGAGAAGTCAAGCAGGATTGGTAGGTCCGTGAGGCAGCTCACGGAGGCTTAGTGGCTTAGAAAGTTGTGGTGGCTCACAAAAGCACTATGGTACATAGTGGCTTGTGGAGAGAAGTGAGAAGAGGTCAGTCTTGTGCAATGGCTTGTGGAGAGAATGGAGGAATGGTCAAAACTCAAGATGGTTCTACCATCATTATGTTAGGCATGTAGTGGCTTGTGGGAGAAGAAAAGGTTTGTGGCTGGGTTTATGCGATGATTTTTTGGATTTGGAAAAGATGATGAATGAGAATATGATGGGTCGATAGTGGGTTAGGGTTAGGGCTGAAGTGTAAGTGTGCAACTTTATAAAGTTATGTGAATAAGTGGGTTAGGGTGGGTAGCATGACCCACCACAAGTTCAACTTGGGTGGGCCGGGTGAAAGTGAGTCGAGTTCATATTCTTTATCAATCATGAAGTTTTTATTTTTTTGCCCCAACCCAACTCGTTTTCAAGGTGGGTTGGGTTGGCCCATAGGTCACAGCTCACTTTGACAGCTTTACCTATGATATTAGCTCGTTGACTATCCTTCAAATACTATGTACTTTCCCATACTTAGTTAGAGATTTTGGCCTCCAACCTTGTATCTTACTCTAAATTGGCTACTTTATACATGTATGACTCGATCTAACCCCATATAGATCAACATTTGTCACTTTATAATGAGTATAGCTCAACTCGACTCTTATATTGTGGCCGCTTATAGATAATACGCCTCAATTTTGCCCATATACCACTTCAACTAAGGTCCTAAAAAAGACTCAACTACCCATTTCAATGGTTAACATCCCAAGAAGGGTTTTCAACAACTAAGCTCATAAAATACCACAACAGTATCTTCACAATGAGATATCCAACTTTTAAAGCAACTTTTCCTTTATTCTTAAGTCAATCAACACAATTCAACATCATGTCTTTGGCATTCTCAACTCAACTACCTCAATGTTCCATATACAACTATCTCAGCCAATTCCCAACCACACTTCATCATAAAGGCTTGATGACACTCCCTGACAATCTCAGCCTTATTAAACACTACCTAGGTTTACAAATATATTTCTACTCAATAGTATGAATTTTTCACTGACTATGAATATCACCCCATAAGAAACTCTGACATCTCTTGTCCTCCTTAGCAAACACAGACAAAGGGAGGTTTGTGGACTACATTGCATACATCAATAAAGCTTGTAAAATAGATTTTACTAATGTAAGCTTTCCAGCAAAACAAAGTTGGTGAGGCTTCAAGTTTGATAACCTTTGATACACCTTGGACAAAACGAAATTAAAGAAATTTCTAAAGACTCTTTTTATGTGGAATAAGAATGCCAAGATATTTACCCAAGTCATTAATGTGTTGAAAACCCAATTGTTGGCTTATAATTAATCATCTATACAACCCCACATTTTTGAAAAAGAAGACTTGATTCTTTTCATTATTGACCTTCTACCCTAAACTCTAGCAAAAAGAATAACTTTTAGAATAATAACAACTTGTTCCTGACTATAGCTTCTGCAAATAAGAGAAGGTTGTCTGCAAAAGTGAGATGAGACAACTTAGGGCCTTTCACATTTTGAATTGGCTTCCAATGCTTGGTGTCAACTACAATCTGAATAAGGTAAAACAACCTCTCAATACAAAGTACAAATAGATAGGGGACAAATAAGATCTCCTTGTCTCACCTTTCTTTCGATCTTGAACTCCTTAAGAATCTCCCTATTCCTCAACATATGCATCCTAGAAGAAGATATACTATTCCAAATGATTTCAATAAAGTTTTCAGGCTAGCCAACATATCCAACAAGGTATCTTAAACAAAGGCTCAATTAGGCCAATCATACTCTTGCTCCAAATCTATTTTAATTCTCATCCAATTGATAACACCTTTTTTGTGCCCCATCAAATGGAAAACCTCCTGGGCAATAATGATATTATCTCTACTCTAACAGTTTGGGATAAAACTAGACTAACATAGACCAACTAGCTTTTCCATTAAAGGTCTCAAGCAATTAGACAAATTTTTAGTAATGACCTTAAATGATACATTACATAAACTAATGAGTCTAAAATTCTTCAAATTAGTAACATGCTCTACCTTAGAGATTAAAGATATGAGGGTGTCATTAATCTCATGAAGCCTACGAGATTACTTAACAACAACTTTACTATAATAATCCACATTTTAAATAAATAAAATAAATAGAAGTACATCTTAATATTCTATCAAAAATATATGTAAATAAAAGTACATTATTTTCTTAAAAAATAGTAAAAAAAAAGTTTTTACAAGTAACAAAAAAGTCAAAAACATTCCTCTTTCCAAATATAGAGATTGAAGATTTAATCAGATTATATTAAAAAATATTATATTTAAAATAAACTAATTTACATTTTTATTTTCATAATTTTTCTCCTGATTTTAAAACATTTCTTACAAAAAGAATACAGTAGAAAAAAAATCAAGAAATGAGTGTTAAGTAAAGGTGTAAGTGAGTTGAATCTTATTATTTAATTTGATTAAAATTTAACGGGTTAAATTTGACTTATTTTTTTTTAAATTCAATCCAATCTAATTCAATTACAAATGAATTAGATCAATAGAGTAAATATAATTAAATTTATTTATTTTTTTATAAAAATATAAATATGTTATAATAAATATAAATAATTTAATATCTTGTTACAAATGTAATATTATTAACTAATAAAATAAATAATAATACAAACTAAATTTTAAAATAAATTTATAAATTTGTTACATTGTTATTATCTCAAATAACTAATATTAATATAAAATAAAATTTAAAATAAATATATTCTACTGTTATAATATTATCAATCAAAATAATTATTATAATATTATTAACCTAAAAATATAATAAAAATAACAAAAAATATATTTTTAAACAAATAATTACACTAACTTATTATTATTATATAATCAATATTTATGAATAAAAAAATAAAAAATTTGTTACTAAATCTGTATAATATTAACTTTTAATCAGATTTAGGTAAATCTAATTTAAATACTTTAAAAAAAAACTCAATCTGAATTCATCAAGTGGATTTGGATTAATTCTAGTTAACCAATTAACTATCCTTGTTTAGACCCTAGTGTCGAGGAAGGAGGAGATAAAAGGATAACGTTAAATTTTTCTGCTTTGTGCTAAGAAACGGAGAAAGAAACAAAAGGAAGAGGATACTGTTGCAGTATTTGAAACTTGAAAGCAAGAAAGAAAGAAGCGAATAATGGTTAATTTTTGTTGAATTAAGTGTAGAAATTATCCTCTCTCCTTTTTTTTTTTTTTTTTTTTGGCAAGGAAGTGACAAGTGACAACCTCGGAAGCTGGCATTAACTTGGATTTGTGGTAAATAAATAATGTGAGAAAGTGTGAAGATCATTTTACTGAGAATGGCAATGCAGGCAGGGGATCTCTGCCAGCAACGAAATTCGCATTCTTCTCCCATTTTCTTCAATCCGATTTCCGATTTTGGTTCCTTCACCGGAGGGTTGTTTCTCGACCCCAAAATTCCCGATTCCTTTGTTCGTTCCATTTCCTTGAAGATTCACGCCACTGCTTCTTCCGATACCAATCTTCGCCGGCATCGGAGTAGGGTTCCGGCAGGGATTTTTTTGTCCTTGAGCTTGCCCACTGCTAAACTCGTTGCAGAACCCAATCTGCAAAGTGGTGAACACGTGTCCGACAAGGAGACCACCTCGAACGGCGTCGTTCAGCAAAGAAAGGTTAGGGTACGAGGAGGCAATGCCGTCAACACCACCAAGCATCTCTGGGCTGGTGCTATAGCTGCTATGGTCTCTAGGTATATTTAATTTCACCAATTAACCTAAACTTCCTGTTGTTAAATAAATAGGTTATCGTATAATTTCTCTTTTGATTCGGTTTATCAGTTAATACTCCACTTAATATTTGTGTGACGTTAACTAATTAATTAATTATTTTATTTATTTTTTATCAGAACTTGTGTTGCTCCACTTGAAAGACTTAAGTTGGAGTACATAGTTCGTGGTGAGAAGAGGAATATATTGGAGCTTATTAGCAAAATCGCGACCTCTCAAGGGTTGAGAGGGTTTTGGAAAGGGAACCTTGTAAATGTTCTGCGGACAGCTCCATTCAAAGCGGTTAATTTTTGTGCTTACGATACTTATAGAAAGCAACTGCTCAGGTTTTCCGGGAATGAGGAAACTACCAATTTTGAGAGGTTTATTGCTGGTGCTGCTGCTGGGATTACTGCTACCATTATTTGCCTTCCACTTGACACTGTATGTGGGATTTTATGATTTCAGTTATTTTTCTCTGTTACATTCCAACTGAATAAACTTGCATTCATGTGAAACGTAAAGGTCAGATAGCTACACAAATGTATGCATTGATATTGATTGAGTGGTCTTTGAATTCATAGTTCTGTATGAGCTCAACCTCTACCAATAAATAAGCTTTCAACTATTCCAGTTGTTATTGTAGTGTTTAACTGATTACCCTTTTCAATTTTAGGAACTGAATAGCAACCTTCTTGTTATCCGTGTTCAACATCTGTCTCGTCTCCAGGCCTCAGTGTGAACATCTATTTGTGTTCAACTGAACGTTCTAAGTTCTTAACTCTCTTTTTCAGATTTTTTAGTTAAGGAAACATTTGGACTGGGTATGGCATCACTACAATTTAATAATGAGAGAAAAAAAATCCTGTTAGTACTTATATTGTCATGCTGATGTAAATCGTATCCCCCAGAACCCCACCAATATATATAGTTATAGTGGTATATAGTTATTAGTTAATGTTTGTCCTTCTGTAAAGCATGATTGTTTCTTTCTTACTGTGTAGCTAGCTAGCTGTGGCCCCTTATACCCAAATATTTTTCTCCATTATGCATTAAGTTAAATGAAAATGAAAAGTTTAATTGCCTTAAGATGTTTCCGTTTGTACATGGATCCTGTCAAATTAGCTCCTAAGTTCTAACATGGCCATATCATTTTAGTAGATATATACAACAATGGGTCCCTGTCTAGGAAATTCAAGGACATATAAGAAGCTGAAATGAGATGATCCAAATTCACTTCATGTTCCCTTCCAAGTAATTTCTTAATTGCACATGTCTTCTATTTCTAAGTCTGACTTGTAGGAAAATGGTGCAAGTTGCTGTAAATTAGTCTGTGTCTGTTATCTTCAATCAGCATGAACACCTGAATCATATATTAAACAAAATTAGGTTCTGCAGTTAATAAAAACATAAGAATAAACATTTAGCTATTTTGTAGTGTAATCACTTGGAAAAATTTACTATGTGGTTCCTTACAGATCCGGACCAAGTTGGTGGCACCTGGTGGAGAAGCTTTGGGTGGGGTAATTGGTGCTTTCCAGTACATGATTCGAACTGAAGGATTCTTTTCTCTTTACAAGGGTTTAGTACCATCAATTATAAGTATGGCTCCTTCTGGTGCAGTTTTTTATGGTGTATATGATATACTGAAATCAGCGTATCTGCATTCACCAGAAGGAATGAAGAGAATCCAGAATATGCATAAACAGGGTCAGGAACTCAGTGCCTTTGATCAGCTTGAGTTAGGGCCTGTAAGAACATTGTTGTATGGGGCTATTGCTGGTGCATGTGCAGAAGCTGCTACATACCCATTTGAAGTGGTGAGGAGGCAACTTCAATTGCAAGTCCAGGCTACTAAATTAAGTTCTCTAGGAACTTTGGTCAAAATAGTTGACCAGGGAGGCATTCCAGCTCTCTATGCGGGACTTGTTCCCAGCTTATTACAGGTATTTAAATTCTTAACTTCTTGGCAGGCCCTACTGGTATTTTACTGGTCTTCCCTAGGAATCAGGATTATTTTTCTCTGGTTGTAACTTGTCAATCCATTCATATTAATGATTCAACAAATTAGAACGACTTAAAGTTTCTAATGTACAGAATATTGATTTAGATTAACTGATTAAGAAACATAGAGGATGGTGTTTCTGTTTGCTGACATAATCTAAATTCCATTTTTATTTGTACCATGCGGTGATCACAAGTTGGCTTTGCTTACATATCATCCTTCTCTAATTCTTTCATCAAAGCAATGTCTTGTTTATTAAATGGTTTGACCTATTGTATTAGGATTATTTACCCTTGTAGTTGGATTATTTATTGATGTAGGTTGTATATGCCAAAACAGAAACCATTTCATCTGTTTATTGTGGAGATGTAGATTAGGGACCATTTCCTCGGTGTTATATTTAGATATTTTCTTTTGTTATTTTCATATAGTTTATAAATTATAACGACCCTTGTGCCTATTTTTTCCATTTTTGATTTCCATACTGCTTAAGGTTGTTTTTAGTTGATCACAAAAGTTGAATAAATTTCGTATTTTAATTTCCCATGTCCAGGTACTTCCTTCAGCTTCAATAAGTTACTTTGTCTATGAGTTCATGAAGATTGTTCTGAAAGTGGAGTAGGCAACGAATAGATTCTAAGGTATATACTGATAAGAAACTGTAGCATGATTCACGGGAGAACAGCTAAATTAGTTACATAATGGTAACGTTCAACTTTAATTGGCAATCGTATTTGATGCCTGTCATTGAGGGTGAAAGCATTATTCAGGTCTTGCTATCTCGTACGACTGATCACTATATCCTTACCATGTGTATTACCAACAGAATTTTTGGAATATTCTACAGTCAATATACCCAGGCTTCAAGTCTGCAAAGTGAAAATAAATTTATTTAGTCACTGCCAGATATTGACTCCTATTCTCATTAGGTTTATACAATTTTGTTAGTTTTTTATTTTCCATCTGGTAGTAAGTCTTGATCATTATCATTGTTGGGTGTACAAGCAAATTCCATTTACATTTGGCTGTAACGTAAAACGTTGCTTATTAATTATTCTGTGCATTGCTTGCATTACACCTAACTAGATCATATACCAGTGAGTGCACGTGATTTGGGGGTTTTGATCAGAGTGAAAATATTTAGTAAAATCAGGAAAAATGGATCTCCCACGGCTTTTTGCGGGCCATCAAGAACTTATTCAAATGTGTGGTTGATTGCAGTTTATATGCTCCAATCAAGAAAGTTTAGAAGTGCTGAAGTGGTGTTTTTCAGCTTGTTAGCGGTGTTATTTTTGAATGATATTTTAAAAAGATTAATATATTTATTTAATAATAATTTAGAAAATTATTTTAAATTAATTTTGTTTTGTTAAACAAATATTTTGTTAAGATTTAGTTTTGTTGATTCGATTTTTTAGTCCAAGTATTATTTTATATTTTAATTTAATCTTTTAAGAGTTAGTTAGTTATTATCTTATAATGAATTTGAAAAAGAATTTTTTTTCATTATAAATATAACATACAGAAAGTGATTCATGATTAATTATGGGGAAGAATAAGGATGATCAATAATTTTAAAGACTCAGTGGTGGTCCATGAAAATCTGAGTTTCACTATGGATGAGACGATGCATTGTTGGAGGCCCACACGACCTAAGTCTCGTGTTTCTATGCTCATAATGCGAGTGGAATAAAGGCTCAACATGATCATGGAAGGCAATTTCTTCTCCTGCAATGTAGAATAAAGCTTTAAGTCACTACCACGTGGGCATTGCCCTTCATCGATGGTTGGGGTTAGAACTTAGAAACGTAACAGTCATGGGCATCGGCGGCTGCGAAGCTTCAAGCTTTATGGAATCACCCGGAGGGCTCAAAACCACTTTGCATATTAGCAGATAGGGATTGATCCTAACCGGTAAAAAATAAATATAATAATTAAAATACAAGGTGTGATGGCGGTGGATAATTCATGATGTTATTTTTAGCTTGTATTCCCTCTGCTTTGGAATCCGAATGCGGTTACTTTGAGGCAAACGGTGAATCAGAATTAACCACTAGGGTTAGCCTAGTGTCGAAAGAAAAGGGGTCAGGATAGTTAGAAGTACGAGGATCTAGATTCAATCTTTGTTATATTGTTTTGTAAGTTTTTTATCTTAAAAAATAAAAATAAAAAAGCAGAATAGTGGTCATATATCGAAGCTTAGCAATTAACATGACGTGAGAAGTTGAGAGCATGTGGTGAAGTAGCGCTGTGGTCGATACCGGTAAAACAGCGAAGACACGGACGAAAGAGAGAAACAACTGATAAGAAATAAGACAAAAAAAATGATAAGAAATAAGTTTATTTGTTTGGTAGTATGAATTTTATTAAATAAGAAATTTATAAACCTAGGTCTCATATATGTAAATAATTTTTTTTTTTATAAAATTGAGAAGAAATAACCAAGAGAAACGCATGTCGTATAATTTATTCAAATAATCAAAAAATTTAATCAAATAATAAAAACTTAATTTAAATATGTTTTTAATTCCTATAAAATTGATGATTTTGATTTTGGTTCTTCTAAAAAATTTTCTTTGTTTTTCATTTTTCTAAAAATTATAAACATTGTTTTTGGTCCTAGTAAAATAAGAAAATTGTAATTTTGATCCTTATAAAATATTATTTCTTAGTTTTCATCCCTTTAAAATTTAATCTAATTATTTTTAGTCTTTAATAATTATTTTAAGATAGATAAATAATATTTATTTTAAAGACTTATAAATTTTTTTTAGAGGTATTAAATATTAATATAATATTAATAATGATTATAAATAACACTTAAGATGATTACTTAACTTTTTAATAATACAAAATAATTAAAAAATGATTACATAGAAATAAAGACTAAAAACAACCGTTTTAATTTTATAAGAATGATAAACATTAGAAAAAAATTACAGAAACTAAAATCAAAACTTACTAATTTTATAGAGACCAAAAATATATTTAAGTTTAAAAAATTTTATTCAATAGTTAAATATTTTATTTGAATACAAAATTTTTTATTCAAATAAGAAGTCTTCGTATTTGGAAGTTTTTATAATTATATAATTATTTTTATTTTAATTATTTATTTATTTTATTTCAAAAATATTATTTATTTAGTTATATAATTTGTATTTAATTGATTAAATTAAAAAAATAATTAATAAAAAATCATTTTTTTAAAATTATTTTGTATTTTTTACTCACTTTATTTATTAACTTATTTATTTATTTCTCTTTTTTCATTTCTTCACACCTATTTTTAATTATTTTCATTCATCAAATAGAAGTGTGTTGTTTATTCGAATAAAACAACTTCTCAAAAATAATTTTATTCGAATAAATGTTGTTTAATCAAATAAACGACAATTTTATAGTAAATAACTGAAAAGTAATATTGTAATTTTTTATTAAATATAGGAAAATATTTATATTCAACATATATTTATTCAAATAAAATAACGTTCAAAAATTATTTATTCAAATAAAACAACGTGTAAGAATTTCACATAAGGATAATATTATAATTTTATTTTTTTCTCTATTCATTCAAATTAAAAAATTTAATTATAATATTATTTCTTTTCAATTTTTTTACTTATTTCTCTCAAATCAAATAATCTTATTTCCATTCTATTTCTTACCTATTTCTACTCTCTTATTTCTCTCTTCTATTGCTCTTTACTTTATTTATCATTTATTTCTCCCCTCACAACCAAATATCGCTCCAAAGTTCTACACAATCTCTCTTGAACATTCTTTCAATTATTGACTCTCGTTTCCAAACATCCATTAAAGACTCTGGGGTAGAACTCAACACAATAACAACAACTAATTGAGAAAGAGTAATATTGCAATGAAAATTAAATCGCCTACTTGCAAGAATCTGTAAGGGACACCAACAAAACAGAGAAAAAGATAATCCAAATACACAAGAGACACAAATATTTTTAACATGAAAAACCCTTTAATGTAAGGGTAAAAATCACGAGTCGTCTAGACCAAAAAAAAATTTCATTATAATCAACAAAGGGTATAATAGAGTCTTCAAATAATGCATCAAACAATGTTTATAATCAGTCAAAGAAAAATTGAGTTGCTTACAATTGAGAAATAAAAAGATGAAAAGCCCCTAAAACAGAGTTATTATTGCAAGACACGTTTCTCCTACTCTAAACTTACTTTTGACAATCCAACCTTTAAATATGAAATGCCACATCATATGAACCTGTTGCCTAAAAATCAGCTTTATCCAACAGTAAAAAAACCTTTAGTTGCAATTCAACAAATACTGCCAAGTGGATATGCAACCTATAGCTTTCTCTCTTCTCTCCTCTTTGTACTTTGCTACTATTTTCTCAAATTGAGTCACTCTTTCTCTATACTAATCTAACCCTTCTCCACTTGATTAAGTGAGACATGATGGACTTACACAATTTGGGGATCTATTCTCCACATAGGAAAGGAGTCTAAAACCCAACAAATATCCCCTTCACAACTATGTGGAGATGATCGCCAAACCAACAATCTCACAACAAACTTCAAATTTCCCTCTTGGTAATGCCTTAGTCATCATATTAGCGTAATTATCATCAATGTGAATTTTGATCAGCTCCAACAACTTAGTATCCAAAGCATCACGTATCCAATAATACCTCACATCAATATGTTTAGACCTAAAGTTGAATTTTTACCAAGATGAATACCTCTGACTATCCACAAATAGTAGATATTTATCTTGAATAAAATCTAGCTCCTGTAAGAATTTATTCACCCATACCAACTCCTTACATGCTTCAATAATGACAATGACTTTTGCCTCTATAGTAGACAAAGTTACACACCTTTGTAGTCTATATTGCCAAGACACAGCTCCCCTTGCAAATTTAATAAAATAGCTCGAAGTGGACTTCTTGGAATCAATGTCTCCAGCCATATCAAAGTCTAAGTACCGAACCAAAGTAGGCTTATCACTACCAAAACAAAGCCTCATATTTGTAGTACAATGAAGATACTTCAAAATCCATTTAACAACATTTTAATGCTCTTTACCTTAATTTTCCAGAAATCTACTAACTGTACCAACAACATTTGCTATATCTGATCTTGTGCACACCATTGTATACATCAAACTACCCATCGTAGATGCATAAGGAACCCGTTGCATATCTAATTTCTCAACTTCATTTGATGGACTTTGTTTAGAACTCAACTTAAAATGAGTAGCAAGAAGAGTGCTCACCACCTTAGCCTTTCCCATCTAGAATCTTTACAAACTCTTTTGATATAGTATTACTATAACAACCAAAACTTCTTCTCCTTTTTGTCACGCATGATTCTTATACCAAGAATCTATTTAGCAGCTCTCATGTCCCTCATGGCAAATGACTCACCCAATTGTCTCTTTAACCTATCAATTCTGGGAACATCTTTCCCAACAATAAGCATGTCATCAACATACAATAATAGGATTATGAAGTCATCATCAAAAAATTTTCTAACAAAAACACAATGGTCAGAAGTAGTCTTCTTATAGCCTTACTCACACATAACGAACTCAAATTTCTTATACCACTGCCTAAAATCTTGCTTCAAATCATGTAAGCTCTTTCTCAGCCTACACATATAGTTTTTCTTGCCTTTAACAAGAAAACCATCAGGTTGCTTCATATAGATCTCTTCCTCCAAATCACCATGAAGGAAAGCAATATTAATCAAGAGTAGTAGCCAAACTCAACACAATTTTGATGGATTCCATTTTCACCACAGGTGATAAGATCTCATTAAAATCAACACCTTTTCTTTGACAAAAGGCTTTCACCACTAATATGGCTTTATAACTTGGAAATGTATAATTACTCTCATGTTTCACTCTATAGACCCACCTGTTATCTAAGGCCCTCTTGCGCTAAAACAAATTCACCAAATCAAAAGTGTGATTATCATACAAGGATTTCATCTCATCCTTCGTAGCATCCAATCACTTTTGCTTGTTTTCACTCTCCATGGCTTCTCCAAAGCACTCAAGTTCTCCCCCATCTATCATGATCACATACTCGTTAGAAGAGTTCCTCATAGATGATTGTCTCTGCCTAATAGACCTCCTAAGTTGGGTTGGTGGTGGCTCAGGTGCATCACCAAGGCTGTCATCCTATGACATCTCATGTTCCTCTTCATCAACATCATCAATAGGAACATTTACCTCATCTCCAAATCGTTTCTCACCAACTTAGTCATGTTGCTCACCATTCTGAACATCAATATCTGATAAGTGTCAATTGTGACTAAAAGAAATTATCAATTAGTGACACTTATCTAGTAATTTATTATGAAAATGGAAGTTAAATTTTTGTAATTGTAAATAGAATCAAAAGGGTTTGAAAGGAAGTAATTTTTGAAGAGTTGATGATTTCTGTAACTAATCTACTATTTGTTTTGCAGTATTTGAAGTTGGAAGCTCTAAAAGAACTCTGGAAGCAAACGGCTCAACCTTTAAAAGGGTTGAGCACTTTCAAGGCCGCAAGCATTTCTGGAGCAAGGGACCAAAGGGCTCAGCTGTTTACAAGGGTTAAGCAGTTTGGTCTAGTGGTGGAAACTCAATCTCAGCCTCCCAAGCGCTCAGCGATTCAAAAGGGCTCAACCCTTGAGGTTTCTTCAGGGTGAAGGATTCTTTAAACCACTCAACCATTTCCCAAGCGCTAAGCGATTCTCTCTCTCTCTTTCATGCCCTGTTTTAATTCTAACACGTATATAAGGGTCGAAAAAAGAAAAAGAAAGGGATCGAAGACTTAGCGAAGTGGAGAAACAGAGCGAGAAGTCCAAGAACACTCGGGAACGGGGTTCTAGGGATTCTTCTTCTTCTTCTACACTCTTCTTTATGTTTCTTAGTGTGATTTCCTCCACCATGAGGGGCTAAACTCCATAAGTTGGGATTGAATGTAACCATCAAACTCTTATGTATTCCTTTAGATTCATATATTTAATTATCTATTATTTAGTTATCTTTGATTTTGGATTTAGATTTTGGTTGGAAAATGTTTTCTGAATCTAGTTGTGAATCAAAATCACCTAATAGTTTCAAAGACTAGGAATAGCGTTGGAACCATTAGTTGAAATAGTTATTATTCTTAATGTGGAGTTTCCAACTTAATAAAGTGAGGAATCATTTATTAAGTTAGATACTTTAGAATTTCTAACGATCAAGGAATTGATTTATAATGAATTTTTAGAACTCAATGGTATTAGATAATAGAATCTAGATGTAAGAAAAGTTAGGAATGCGTAAGAGTGAGATCGATGAAATTTAATCCCAACGATTTTATATATTGGAATTCTTCTATTTTAACTGATTTGTATGTTATTCTGCAATTGAACTACTTTTGTTTATGTAAAAAATTGATGATCCAAATTACTACAAATTTTATTTGAACAAGTATCAACTAGTATAAAGGAAATCATATTTATCTCACAAGTCCATGAGGTTGACAACATTCCCTATATTACAGAGACTTGGTGCGATTGCCTGCAAATCTCAACAGTATCTAGATTATGAATTGGATCAACGTAAGCCATGCCACTATCTCCCTTGGGTGTAGACTTCTCCACCTTATCCATGTCTTTAATGGTTTAGTCTTTCATAAATTTCACATCACGACTTCTAACAAACTTCTTTTTAACAAGATCATAAAATCTATAACCAAATTCATCATCACCATAACCAATAAAAATACATTGTCTTGTCTTTGCATCCAACTTGGATTTCTCATCCTTTGCAACATGCAAAAATTCCTTACAATTGAAAACTCTTAAGTGATCATACTTGACATTCTTGCCAAACCTAATTTTATTTGACACCTCATTGTTCAAAGCAATAGCATCATCGTGTACAATGTTTCACCCCAAAAATGCTTAGATAACTTAGCCTCAAAGAGCATACATCTCACTCTCTCAATCAATATTTTGTTCATCCTCTTTACTAAACCATCTAGCTAAGGAGTTTTAGGAGGAGTTTTCTCATGTGCAATACCATGTTGCCTACAGTAATAAACATCCAACATTCTGCAATACCCACCACCATTATCAGTACGAATGTGCTTCAACTTCTTACTTGACTACCTATCAACTAAGGCATGAAACTCTTTGAACTTCTCTTACACTTGGTCTTTTGTCTTCAAAGCATAGATCCATAATTTCCTAGAACAATCATCAATAAAGGTAACAAAATAAAGTACACCGCTAAAAGATTTTACCTTCAAAGGACCACAAATATCAAAATGCACGAATTTAAGCAACTCAGATTTCCTAGAAGAATGATGCTTCTTAAAGGATACTCTAATTTGCTTAGCAACCATGCAATGAGAACATTTCTCTAATTCTGCATTCTTCAATCCTTGAATTACATCCTTTTTGACTAAATAATTCAACCCTTTCTCACTAATATGACAAAGCCTTCGGTACCACAAAGATGCCTCCATATACACAACATTCACACTACCTTTAGCAACCAAAACTTTTGTTTAGTAAAGTTTAGAATTTCTCTCCTCTTTAGCCACAATTAAGTTACCTTTGTTGAGTTTTCACTTTTTAGAACCAAAGTAATTATCATAACCACCATCATCAAGCACCTACACATAAATCAAATTAAAAAGAACATCTGAAGCATGCTTAACTCCTCTAAGCAACAACTATATTCCCATGTTAGTTTGCAAGCAAATTTCACCAACACCAATCACCTTAAACACGTTATCATTATCCATCTTCAATATTCCAAAATTACCAACAATATAAGATGTAAAAAACTTCTTAATTGTAATATGCAATGTAACACCACTATTTATTATCTACACCACTATTTATTATCTACATATTCTCATCGGATACGAGATTAATTAGATCAATGTTAGGAGAAGAACAAGATTATCACAAATAACAATAGTTATAAAATAGACAACGAAGAGCGACATTAAACTACCATAAAAAAATGCACCGCTAATGTGCAGGATACTCAGATGTTTATAATTTAGATGCAAATATTTGATTTTCGCCCTATTCGGAAAAAAATTTCTGTAGGCACGTTTCGCAAGAGGAAAAAATGAAATTAATTTTTTTAAAATTAAAATTAATTTATGTAAGTTTAAAAATATTTTTAAAAAGTTAATATGAGATAATTTTTATAAATTAGTTCATGTAATTTATATATAAGTTAATTTTATGAAAAATAAGTTTACTATTCCAACATGACTTTTTTTTTTTTTTTTTTAATTTGGTTTTGTGTCTCTTTCATGTGAAGTCCCTGCAGGTATTTTAATTTCACCACCTGCTCCTTAACTTGAGACGACAAGTTACTCTAGTCTTGAGGTAGTACATAGTACATAATGACACGCTTTCTCAAACGGCTGGTGTGAATGTGAGTAATGATGCCCGAAACAATTGAAAACGACAGTGATTAAAAAAGGCTTTTTCAGCCAAATATTATCCGATTAGAAAGTCAGATGCATATAATAATAGTCTTTCAGCTAGCTGAATGTCTGATCAAATTGGCACTACTTGAGTAGAATGCATCGTCTTCGTATACCACATGAAAATACGTAACAAAAATTCATCATATCTAATTTCAAGGTATATTTTTAACATGCGTTTACTTTTCTATTGCGCTACCTAGTTGGGATCACAGGGAAGACTCCTTAGTCCTTAGCATTATTACTAACTATAAGACGAAAAAGGGGATAAACTCATTTTCACTATCCTTTTGATCTCCAACGCCGCAGAAAAACCAATCACCAAGCAACTCTTCGGTAATCACCGATACGGTTATGGATTACTCCAAAATCAAACAAATTAAATCAACAAAAAATTAAACTTACAGCTAAAATTGGGGGTTCAGAAGAATCAGCAGTTGCTGCTGCTAAACAAAGTCGTCAATCATTAGCTTGATACATACACCCACCATTTGTACATAACATATCCATAAACCACGCTATACACAATCACCCTTAGAGGAGAATTCGCAAACCTGTATCACAAAACAATTTATTCAAGTCTTAATTTAATCACCCTCTACAGTATACACCTATATATCCTATGGATACTACACAACATAGAGTAGAGTATATTAGATATCTTGACAAGTGAAACTGATTAATCGAAACCCCTAACCAAGTGAAACATAGGATATATATGTTTGAAAGAGAGAAAGGGGGCACCTTAGAAATCCAGATCCTTGGGCTTGTACAGAATTGGCCCTTTCTTGAGCAGTAACAGGATAAGGCCAACGAGAGAAATCACGGTTGAAGTAATCCCAATCAGGAAGGAGAAGTGCAGAAATTCCAATAACACCCAAGACATAGGTGACCATCATTTTCTTCAAAGAGTGGGTGCATACACCAACCGCCAATATAACCGCTGCCAGCCATAGCAGAGAGGTTCTGAGAGCGGCGTCGTTTGCCATGTTCTGTGAGAAAGAGAGACTGAGAAAGACTTAGTTGGGTCAAAATCCTTTATTGTTTTTTAGGCGCATAAGCTTTAAATGCCAACCCAACGCTCTCTCAACTTTCTCTTTAATGACCTTTCCTCACTTCTTCTTCCTAATGCTTCAACTTTCTCCAACACTTCTCTTTCCTTCCTTGGGATCGTTGCTGCGTTGTGGTTACCATGACCATTTAATTATAATAAATTGTTTACTTTCGTGTGAGAATGAACTTGTGGCTTTGAATGAAATGGCAGTTAAGTAATGAATGTAACTATTTTTTAAATTCGGTCTGCTATAGATCTCAGTAATGAATATACAGTAATATTGAGAATAATGCAAAATGCAATATGTTTTTATTGTCGATATGAAGTTTTTTCTTTTATTACTATAAATGGTTATATATAAATGCACTTATTTTGTTGTGGGCCTGTACCCTAGGTTTCTCCATACATGTTGACATGCCAGTTGCCAACTTGGTTGTGGCTGGCAAGTAAAGAACCCTTCAACGAGATAATTTCATATTTTCATTATTATTATTATCATATTCAACTATTATATTAGATCGAAAGTTTTTAACTTTTAAATTATATATACAAAATTTTATATTAATTTAAAATAATTTAATATTTTATTGTTATAAAATAAAATTGATATAATATATATATATATATATATTAAAATATAATAAATTATGAATACTTTAATTACCTTTAAGTTATTCAATTTTAACAAAATTTGATATAAATTTTCAATTTAATGATTTAAATTACAAAATTTATATTTAATATTAAATTATTAAGCAGTGTAATACTTAGTATAAGTTATAACAGTGTCGTTTGAATCATCTTTCTCTCTCTCTCTCTCTCTCTCTATATATATATATATATATATATATATATATATATATATTGTGTAGAACATTATACAATATCAATCTGTAATTTATAGTTCTTGTGATTCGTGGATAATCCACCTTTACACATTTTTATACAAGGACTACTAATTAAGTCTATATATCGTATACAAAATGATTGAATTGTCGTAAAATTTTTTAGAGAAATTCTTATGTATACGAGATAATCAATTAAGTGAATCATTTGCAAATAATTAAATTGAATATTTAAAGAAAATCTTTAAGGGTGTTTCATTTTGTCTGATTGGTAAGAGTTGATTACAAATATGAACAATAATATTGCTAACGAGAGTGATATCTAATGTTTCATATATAGGTAATTAATCTTATCCATGTGCTTAGAGATAATGTTGCATGATTTCAAGAGATATTTATGTTGATAAGTAGAGATATTTGTTTTTGATAATGTGGTCCTTAATTTTGGGAGATATGATATGCAGAGAAAATATTGTATTGTATCTTGGAGATATATTCCTTATTCGTTAGACTTGTAACTGTCTAAGTTACTTTATAATTTTAGTTAGGGGAGCTGAAGAAGTAGGTTGGCCTATCTGAACTCGTTAAGAGCTTGACATGAGCCTATTTCATCCTAAATCCTAAACCTATTATGAGTCAAATTGAGCTAGAAAATTTTGAACTTTAAAATTAGTACGTCAGATCGGGACAATCCACTTAAAAAGTAGATTGAGGTAGACTAAGTCAAACGGGTTAGATCAACCCATTTTGACAATCCTAGGTACTATACATACTTCAGTATCATAAGGCTATTAATACGTCATAAAAATATAATTTTTTAAATATTACTTTGTGTTTATAAAGAAGTCAAATTCTATATATTAAACGCAAATCTCTATTTTGTATGAGAGTGTTTTTATGAATTTTTTTCAACGAGAGGATTTTTAATAATTCTTTTTAATTTCTTAACTAATTCAATTTTTATTTATTATAATTATTTATGACTTAAATGTTAATATTTTTAAACAAATTATATATTTAAAAATATTTATTTATACAAATTTTAAATATAATTTATATATTCAAATATAATATTTATTTATATATATTATTTATTATAAATTTTAGTTACATATAATAAATATTTAACATATGCACTGCACATTCTAAAATACTAACTTTTAAAAATATAAAATTGGTGTGTTATATATTTACATATTATGTTTTTTAATTTTATTTTACATATCTATTATACTTATTATCTCTATTTTCAATTTTGCTTTTGCAAGAACTTGAAACAATATATTTATTTTTTTCGGTATGATTGTTATTGATATTAGTTATTAGTTATTTAATACCTCATAATTTTTTTTTATTTCAGTATAATACTGTCTACATTTTATGTATATATTTTTTTATTAAACAACTTTACCTTTCAATTGTGCATATATCTTTTATTAACCAATTATTAAATCTACATCGATATAAAAGGTCTTGTGTACGGTACATGTACAAAGAGTTAAAGACTTATTATTAATAATAAATAAAATGTTTATTTAACAGTTAAGTTTAGGTCCCGTATCATTAAATTTTATACTGCGGGCATGACATTATACTACCGAACTGTTTTTATATAATTTTTTTTTTTATTTTATAGATTTAAATATATTTTTAGACTCTATAAAATTAGTAAAAATAATTTATAGTCTTTGTAAAAAAATTATTTTTTATTTTTTATAATTAAAATTATTATTTTTAATTTATATATTTTGTCTGAACTTTTTATTTTCATAGAGTAATTTTGAAAATTATTTATGTAAATGAGGTTCATTTATAATTATTTACATTTATGGAACTATTTTGTATATAGTCGCTATGGTCCATAATCACGTCCAATGCACCCACTCAGTCACAGCTAAATAGGATATAAATCCTCACTCGGGTTTTACTCGGATGATGTCACTTACACAATTGGAAGTCCGGATCCACCGTCAGGTATAGCACAGCTGGGTACAGGCTTACCATGACCTTGGCATGCATTACCAAGTCACTTGTGGAGTTCGCCCACCGACTATCTGCAAGGATGCACGCACCTTCCCTAGTACTTGGTTAAGGGAATAACCCTCGACCTCATACCCCACTCCAACACTAGCTAAGGACTTAGAGGAGACTCACCCAACCCAATGGCCTACCTGAGCACCACTCTCACCCAAATTCAGTGGCCTACCTGAGCACCACTCTCATATATCAGTCGCCTATCCAAGCACCACTCTCAAGAGACTCTATGTGAGCTCTTCCATTTCGAAAACATTTTCCCTTTCCTCAAGTCCTAAGCTAGACTCATGCCATAAGGCATGACATGCAATAATGCATCACACATCATACTTGGTCTACCCACCATCATGATCAATAATCATACTCAGGCCATAAGACATCACATGCAATAATGCATCACATATCATACATGGTCTACCCACCATCATGATCAATAATCATACTCATGCCATAAGCCAAACTACTAAAACAAGAGTGATTTAGGAGTCCAGAACAGGCCGTTCTCAAACTAGAAGGGCCGTTCTAAACTACTAAATAGGTCTATAAACCCTAGTTGGGAGGCCTTTCTGGTTTGAGAACGGGTCATTCCAAACATGGTCGTTATGGGTTAAATGCAACCCTAGAACGGGCCGTTCTAGTTTGAGAACGAGCTGTTCTAGATGTGAATTTTACACATGGTGAAGGAGTGTAGAACGGACCGTTCCAGATTCGAAACAGGCCGTTCTGGCCACTCCAGACTTCTATAAATAGGCCATATGTATGTAGTTGAGGAGAAGAGAAAAAGGGAACTTAGAGAGAGGTTTTAGAGAGAAGTTTTAGAGAGAAGGACTCTGTGTTTGTGAGCTCCTTTCTTTCCCTAATTTCTCTGTATGATTCTTCTTCTCCTCTAGATCGCTAATCTCTTCTGTCTTCTCTTGGAATTTAGGCTAGGAAGCTTGCTTTTAGAGGATTGAAGTTCCAGGTTGAGCTTCGAAAGGGAATTCCACTTCTTTTTAGTTCTTTGCTATTCTGAACCAATCTTTAGGTGAGGGAAGCTAGAATGTTTGTTGTTTAGGTTGCATGTGAGTTTAGAAACTCAATCGATGCATGAATGTTGAGAATCCATGGTTGGATTGGAGAAATTTTTCATTTTGGGGTTTTTGGAAAAATTGGAGTTTTGATGATTTTGATGCATTGGATGAGTCGGATCCACCGTCAGGTATAGCACAGCTGGGTACAGGCTTACCATGACCTTGGCATGCATTACCAAGTCACTTGTGGAGTTCGCCCACCGACTATCTGCAAGGATGCACGCACCTTCCCTAGTACTTGGTTAAGGGAATAACCCTCAACCTCATACTCCACTCCAACACTAGCTAAGGACTTAGAGGAGACTCACCCAACCCAATGGCCTACCTGAGCACCACTCTCACCCAAATTCAGTGGCCTACCTGAGCACCACTCTCATATATCAGTCGCCTATCCAAGCACCACTCTCAAGAGACTCTATGTGAGCTCTTCCATTTCGAAAACATTTTCCCTTTCCTCAAGTCCTAAGCTAGACTCATGCCATAAGGCATGACATGCAAAGTCCTTTAAAATCCTAATCCAATACACCCCCCTAAGTGACACGTGAAATTTTTTTTCTTTTTTTTTTTGACATGAATTGTTACAATTAATAATGACATTAACTAAATTGTTATTAATTATAACGACTTGTTAAATGACACTACATGTAATGGTCATTTTTTTATAAAGGTCATTATGAGCTATAACGACCTTTTTTTTGTCGCTATAACTCATAGTTACACTCATTTTCTTTTTTAAAAAGGTATAGCTTGAGCCATAATGATAAAAGGAAGAAGAAAAAAAAGATTGCTACAACTCATACCGACCCTTATAAAAAAAAAGGATTGTTACAAACAAAAAACCTGCATTTATATCATTTTGTTATGCAATAAATTGATAATTTAATTTTTAAGTCATTTTTCAATATTAGTCTAATATTTTTATAAAGTAATCAACATAAAAAGCGGTTCTTACATTACATAATTGGTATCTAATTCAATATTTTTTGCATCTAAATTTTTAAAAATTAAATATGATATAATTTCTATATATTATAAAGTTTTCTACAAAAAAAAATCTAATTTTGCAAATTAAATTTATAATTATCATGATTCAATTCTCTTTAGACTGGAGTCAACTAACATAGTCTTTTATTTTGTGGAACATCTTTTTTAAGACACTCATATGTATGTTTAGGAAAAATTTATACATGGATATATAAAATTTATCTTATATTTTATACATGACCTATAATATCACCTTTTTTT